GGAAGTATAACATCAAGTTTTGTGTGTATAGTGTAGGTACCTAATAAAGTATGCACCTTACGGATTTCAACGAGAAAATTATGGTGTTGGATATGTGGAAGTGAAAATAGAGAAAAATGTGTGCACTGTAAGGGCACAGATATGCCCAGAACAGAGTTTGAAGTAAATCATATTCTGAATTACAATTACAATATTATATATCGATGGATTTTCGTCGATAACTGACAGAAAGTAAATCGACATTATGTACTTTTAATTAATTAGAATCGTCTTCACAACAATACAAGTGGGACGTCAAAGAGTCACTCGTGAAACTTTTTTTCGATATTTCCTGTTGGGACATTTCTGAACAATTTATTGGGTTCGCGATGACTTCTTCTATCACACGCAGGCACAATGCAATCATTATTCAACGCTTTTTTCCGTCATAACGACGTTTTCTTTCCCTGGCTCGATTGTAAGCCATACTACGGCTTAGCACCAACGTGCGTAGTGACGTCACAGCAACGTGGCGGTCATTCGAAACTTTTTCAAACGCCGTTCATTTTAAAATCGTGTTTGCTAATCACAACGATTTCTCTTGACAAAGAAATGAGTACCAATAATTTTTTTAATGTTCTTGGAGTTCATTTTCAAGGTTTTTGAAAAAACGCGGAAAACCCAATTGCGTACGACAAGTGTAAGTGTAAACACACAGTAGCACAATATATCATATTATTATTATAACACAAACATCACTACAACAGACATCATTCAAACTATTAATCACTTACATAACTGGAAAAGCCCAGGCATTGATAACATTCACAACTTTTGGTGGAAATATTTTACCTACACTCACTCTTACCTTGCACAACAATTTACTGAACTTCTTAATTCACCAGATCGCACTCCTGCATTCTTTACAAAAGGTATCACTTACATGCTCCCAAAAGACAACAATACACAAGACCCATCTAAATATAGACCAATTTACATGCCTTCCTACAATATACAAAATCCTCTCATCATGCATTGCAAACAAAAACTGTACTGATAACAACATTTTATACGAAGAACAAAAAGGGTGTACCAAGTATTCCAGAGGCTGTAAAGAGCAACTCATTATAGACTCTGTAATACTCGAACAATCCAGACATAACAAACGAAACATACACACTGCATACATTGATTACAAAAAAGCATTCGATTCGGTACCACACTCTTGGTTACAAGTACTTTCAATATACAAAGTCAGCAACAATATTACACAATTCCTCAATTACATAATGTCATGTTGGAACACTACGTTAACAATTACACTAAACGACACAAAACTTATTACTGACCCAATACAAATTAAAAGAGGAATTTTTTAAGGCGATTCTTTAAGTCCGCTCTGGTTTTGCCTTGCTCTTAATCCACTTTCCTATTTGTTAAACAATACTAACTTTGGGTACAATATTAAACATAACCACGAAATACATCACTACATTACACACCTGTTCTACATGGACGATCTGAAATTATACTCTTCCACAAGCATAAAACCTTCTACACATCACCGAAACATTCTCATGTGACATACAAATGGACTTCGGAATTGATGAATGTAAAACACAACACATCGCAGCTGGTAAAAGACAACTTTTAGATTATGAGCTTGAACAGGGTAATTTTATAAATTCCATGGACGAGAATGAAACTGATAAGTATCTTGGTTTTCAGCAAAACACACACATTAAACATACGAGTATAAAACAAACACTTACCACACAATATCTACAAAGAATACGCAGTATAGTTAAAACAAAATTACACGGTAGAAATCCAATCAAAACTATTAATACTTTTACCTCACCAGTACATACGTTGGACAAATACAGATCCAAACAGATCTACAGTTCTAAAACAAGTACAGGGAAACACCCGTACACTATTAACAAAACACCATATACATCACCCTCACTCCTCTACTATACGACTTTACCTTCCTCGCTCGGAAGAAGGTAGAGGACTTTTGTGTTGATTCTATAGCAACGCACACTTGGTTGTCTGAATGTGATGTCTTCTTGGAGACTGAGGGTTTCATAGTAGCAATACAGGACCATGTCATTAATACACGCAACTATAAAAAACACATACATAAAGACAAAATGGGTAATGAGCATCTTCTGCCACCATGTGACATTCCTCGCGTTGAACAACTTCACTGATGTTGCTTAAAACTGAGTCCAGTCGCCTACCATTTGCCTTAAGTGCATCGTTATACTGCACAGTGCACAAGATCAAACAGCGATATAAAGCTACTCATTGTTCTTGTTTTTGTATTATTTGCATTAGTAGATAGCCCTGGTACATTGAAATCTCCAAGTACAAAAAAAATGCGTATGCGTTGACAGAAATTCGAGCTATATACTGGGAATTAATTTGCTTGATCGGTGGTCCACTTTTCCTTGCACAAAAAGATTAAAGGAGTTTTTTTTAAATTTTTTTTTGGGTTTTCTTGACGTTATCCCATTAGCTACCGTAAACAATTTTTGAATGCAAGATTTAGTACAAAACTGCAAAATAGATGTAAAATCCCACTAAGAAACCTATGGGGTTATAGTTTTAAACTATCAGAAAGAAAAAAAGTACACATACATTACATTACGAGCAATGCGCAGAAAATAATCCGTGACTTTTACTCCATAGACATTACTAACTAATTGAGACTACATTGTGGTCACAAAATTTGTTGTTACCTGCCTATGGGAATTGTTAAAGTAAACGTTAATTTATACCAAATTTTCCTGATAATTATTTCAAAACAAATGTGTGGTACTGATGGGAACCACCTTAATAAACAGGCAATAAGAAATCCATAACTTTAGTAACCTTGTGAAACTTACTAAACTTTGCTTAGTATACCCCAAAATAAAGAAATTTTTCGCAGCTCGCTTATTAGTTGACACCAATAAAATTTTTAGCTTCTGTCAGTTAAGGTCATAATTCGATCTTAAAATTGATATAAAATAAAAAAACAGGTCATTTCAGCCCTGCAGCACCAGTTCGCGGAACCGTCTTGAATGCCTCCACTTATTCGTTCACTTCTCTGAGGAGTGCTCCTCTTGCTTTATGAATTTTATTAGTGATAGTACTTACTTAGTAGTTAATCTTTCTTGACTGCCGCGAAACGATTAAAAAATTAAAAATATTAGTGTATGTATTAGCATATGAATAACGGAAAAGATCCAATGTTTGTTAAAATACAGTAGTTTTAATTTCCCAACTTTTTGATAGACCTGACAGAAGTAGGGTAAGACATCAGCAGTCAAAGTTGGCATACGAAGTATTTAAAAAGCTGAATAGAAGTCGGCCGAGGTCGCAGCGTAGGTTAAGCTTAGATTAGATTAGATTAGGCACAAAAAGCAGTCGGTAACAATTTAAATGACTCCTGCTATCAAGTTCAAACTATTGAGCCTTGATTCTGTAAGCCTGTACTTCGATGCAGTCCCTTGGTTTCGTAGCAATTTGGCTAGTTTATTTAGATTATTTTATTTTGATTTAATACATTCCTTGAATCAAGATCTTCGAGTCATATTTTTTGAGTACTTTGTGAGTATAAAATGCAAATTACTATTCCGAAAGGCCCGTACGCAATTTCTTCAATTGGGCATTTTTTATAAATGTTTATTATGGATTGCAAATGAAAAGGAGATCATTTCCAAAATTACTCAGCACTATACCTACTCTGTTTCTTTACAATTAAAAATTCAGTCCTACTTAAGTGATATTGAATTTTATAAAGATCCCTACACGTCATATACACTTTTTATTTAATTACTTGTATGTTATCACATTATTGATAACAATTGTAACTAAGTAAAATATTAATAAGGCGCATGTCGATAACGCATTCACAATTCCTAGTACACTAATGTTGCTTTATAATTTACCACACAAAAAAAAATAATCTAGAATACAATCCACTTTAATGTTCCAAAAATGACTAATAAGAACAAAATCACAAAGTGACCCTAATGTTTTGAAATGTTGACTGCAAAAATTATTGTACAAACATAGCACAAGCAATAAAATGGTAAAGTTTTTGGGACAAACGGAATAAATGAGCTTCACATATCAGTGTGAGTGAACATAACACACAAATGTGCATCAAGTCAAGATACTGCTAATTAATGCAACATAGGCTTGGACATACGCTTTCGCAACAAAAAATGACACTATAAACCGGCAACAAACCACAAATGTACACATAACGTTAGCAACAATATGACAATGACCTCAATTCATGTTTGTGATTTTCAAACACCCTGTATAATAATCAAATTCTTTCAATAATTTAATTTGTAAGTAAGAATAGAAGTTTAATCTAATCGTTGGCAAATAAACTTAATTTTGAAACCACCCATACATTCAATAATTATGTACATTTTCCACGCTTCGAAAGGATTACAATTCTTACATCATCCTTATTGGTACTTCCATATGTGCCTCTTGACTATTTTTGAAATTACTTACATCTGACGATGCTGAACCCGTTAACGTAGGCAAACAAGGTGGTATGGTGGGTTGGGCTGTGGTGGTGGCGTCCATTAGGCTGGCAAGTGATTGTGCGTTACTGACAGGTGCTGACGGACTTGGAGCTGAAACTGGTGGCTGTTGTTTTTTCTTTAAAGCTTCCTAAAATATGGAAATCAAAATTAGCATTTAACTAACGAATTAGGAAAGATATACATTTCTAATTTGGTTTTATAATATAAACAACCGCAATAACGCATAAATGACAAATTACGTAATAATATAGTACAAGTGATTCCATCCTACAAACCAAAGTTCAAACTATCCTACATAGCATAGAGCAAGAACTCCTTAGCCTTCAATAGTTGAAATGTATAGTTTTTAAACTTACCTTATAACAAATTGAACATAAGCCATCTGTCGCTGGGCTACCATAAAATCCACAACCAGATCGGCACAAGGCCTGCATAGGATTGGATTCCCGTTCCATTTTGGTACCTGACACTTTGATTGCTGACAGCTGCTATTGCACTTTCCCACAATGAGTGTTAGCTGAGTGAATCCCTGTCACGATAAATACTTGTGCGATGTATGTATCTGTAACAATGTTTTTGATTAGCTCACCTTTCACTGTATACCAAATGTAAAAAATTTGTTGCCCTACTAGCCCATAGTTCTGCGAATTTGTACTATAGAACCAATTAACATAGAATAAAATAACGGCGGATTGTACCAACCTGGTTTAACTCCTAGTTCAATTGGAAATGGCTTTAGTACAAGAATTATTTTGTATTAAACTTAAAAGTTCGCTAAACTTAATTGTGGTTTATCCTCGGGTTTATCTTTGAACCGCGAAATTAAGAGGTTTTTTGCCCATCCCAATTGCAGTATTTTTTATAAGGGTGCTTGTTACAATGCTTTGCAGATTTGAGGTTTCAACATTGCCAGAATATATGTATGTATCTTTTTTAATTGCAGGATTCAAACATATATTTTGTTCTGTTACCTTGAAATCATTAATACATGTTTGGCCGCAATTTCAGATCACTGTGATTAATATCCATAAGTTGGACCTCCCATCAAGAAAAAATTTCCTAAAATTAAAAAAAAGTATTTACCCGACAGTTACACTTGAGAATGAAGTTCGCAAGGTATACTTGAAATCACGAGTGTGGCCCTGTGTCATTGATTTGTGAATCAAATTCAGTTATTTATCGATTTCGCATACTTGACAGATATTACAGTGTTTTAGCGTATGTCTGAAATTGATTCACAAATCAATGACGCAGGGACAGAGATTCGTGATTTCAAGTTTAAATAAATGTTTGGAATTTGAACTCAATTAGGCACCATACAACTAGATTATTTCAACGTTCATTTTCCCACAATATCCCCTCGAATATCCCCAAATTAGACGGAGCAAAGAAATAAATATGTATAAAAATTGGGCTGTCCAAAAAAAATGTTTCGTCGGGCAAACAAAAGCCTCAAATTTTGCGTTTCCTCTTTAAAAGTTGTACGCAAAACACTGATGGTTTAGGTTTAGTTTTTAATAAGAAAATGTTGTGTCCAAGTTGGACACTTTCTTATGGAAACACCCTTTATTTTAAGAGATAGAAAAAATGGACCTAGGCGTCTGGAGCTCAATTTTAAAGAGAAAATCACTGGTGCATTCAGCTCTCTCTAGTCGTTTGGCCGCTAGGCGTTTCTCTTTTTTGGTGCACTTTTTTGTGTAGAATCCATCGCGATACACAGTGTTTATAGATACAGGGTGTTTAGTTTTTCTTAAGAACATTTTTTATATGAACCATTCTATATATTTTGGAGTTTTTGAAAAGAGTGGACAGACAGACGGACGGACGGGCGAACAAAACGCAAACAATAACAAATTTGTTTAATTCTTAAAAAATGCGCTAAAAATCGAATTGTTTTTCTGGTATTTAACCTAAATCAAAATCAATTACACTTCTCCAGTCCCACATCGTTTTTTTAAAAAAATGCACTATTGTGACCACTTTGTCCGTCCGTCCGCTCGTTCGTTGAGACGCTACTAGTTCTTTATCTTACTGAGCTATTGTTCTACTTTTTTCGCTATTTGGTTCGTTATGGTTTCGATGCTTGCACCAAGGAAGGAATTTTTTTTCTGCATTTAAAACCTAGAGATCGTTTATAATTTTGTATTGCTGTCTGTCGTCTGTCTGTCTGTCCCTCCAGCTGTCCTGAACGATAACTTTGTTTAGAAATGTCCGATCGCTTTTACATCTCCGATAGTTATGAACTGAATTGCATGAAATTCAATATGGGAATAGCTTTAGCCATATAATACGCAATGCCAAAAGTTGAATCGAATCGATTCAAAATTCACAGTGCCCTTTTCGCATCTCGACCATTTATAAACGGAATTGCAAACTTTTTTATTTATAAAAGTATTTAAATGAAATTTGATACAATGGCACTTGGAATAAAGAAAAATCAAACACTAGTTTCAAAATTGTAGTTTTGCGCATACGCAGTGCCAACTTTCTTATTTATGGAAGCAATTAAATGAAATTTCATACATATACACCTTAAATAAAAGCAAAACTAACATCAGGTTTAAAATTTGCACATGCTATAGCCATACCCAGGAGGGGGAGGTTGTCCATTTTTCCATCAATTTTGTGTCGATCTCATTTCCATTATGCAAGATTTCGTTTATTTTTTTCCGTGTTGGGACCAGAGTTGGACTGGGTCACTGGGTCAACTGGGTCACCTGGGTCACTAAATTAAACTGGGTCACTGGGTCACGTCATACTCTTTTCAGTTAGACCCAGTGACCCAGTTGACCCAGTGACCCAGTTTGACCCAGCGACGCAATTTCACCCGGGGACCCAATTCGACCCAGTCACCCAGTTTGATTGAATAACGCAGTTAAGTCAGTGCCCTCGGTTCAAGTGTACAGATTATGCAATAAATGAAATGCTGGTTTGTTGAAAATAATACTCGATTGCTTGACAACTGCCATTTCTGTGATGTTTGCTTTAATACTGCCGTAAAAAACTTTCCATGTCCCGAATTGTATTAGAATAAGTTATTTCTTTGCTTCAGGGCTTTCCAGTTTGCTTACAGGTGTTCATTCACATTTAATTTTTTAGCGCATTTTTGCAAAAAATTTTTTTTGTAAAAAGTAGCTTTTAATCTCACTTTGGCTGGCTGGCTGGCTGGCTGGCTGGCTGGCAGCAAATGTGGGCGCGTAGAAGAACTCTTGTAGAAAGGCAACGGGTGTACGTGTATCTACAGGGCCGTGAAATTTGTCAACCTTAGGGACATGGCTACATGATGTGGGGTTGGCGACATCTGGGCGTCATCCTCGAGTGTAGTATACTAACGTGAAGGTTTTTCAGTTTTTTCCTATCTTCTACTACAGTTTTGGTCCGATTCTTTTCAAATTGGTGTCGTCGGAAAGATGTTGTAAACGCGCACAACTCCTGCGTGGCGGAATTTTGTTTTTTTGTCATAGGGGCGAAATTAACGACCTTTTGCGAGGCGGCGCGCGCGTCTTCGAGAAGTAGTCAGGCGCCTTTTACCTTCCGTTGCGAACTCACGCGGTTTAAAGTTTCGTGAATCTCGAATCGCTGTCTCTCTTTCTCGTGTCGCCAATAGAAGTGAATTGCGAGGGAACGGGACGTCGGAAGTGGGTACCGTAAAAGAGAATGTGGTAGCCCGCGACACGATCTCACTGATGGTGGAGTCAAATCTTCAAACGCGAATTGCGAGTGAACGGGACGTCGGAAGGGGGTACCGTCAACGGGAATGTGGTAGCCCCCGACACGATCTTCCTGATGGCGGAGTCAAATCTTCAAACGCGAATTNATTGCATGAAATTCAATATGGGCATAGCTTTAGCCATATAATACGCAATGCCAAAAGTTGAATCGAATCGATTCAAAATTCACAGTGCCCTTTTCGCATCTCGACCATTTATAAACGGAATTGCAAACTTTTTTATTTATAAAAGTATTTAAATGAAATTTGATACAATGGCACTTGGAATAAAGAAAAATCAAACACTAGTTTCAAAATTGTAGTTTTGCGCATACGCAGTGCCAACTTTCTTATTTATGGAAGCAATTAAATGAAATTTCATACATATACACCTTAAATAAAAGCAAAACTAACATCAGGTTTAAAATTTGCACATGCTATAGCCATACCCAGGAGGGGGAGGTTGTCCATTTTTCCATCAATTTTGTGTCGATCTCATTTCCATTATGCAAGATTTCGTTTATTTTTTTCCGTGTTGGGACAAAGTTCGGGTTTGAGCCCCTCTCTTTACCAAATCCTGGGACCGCCACTGATCATAAGCATTGAAGTTCCAATATTGATATTGTTTTTCAAATAAACCTACCAAGTTATGCGCATATAACCTCTCATTTCTAACGAAATACTTGATTCCGAACTTGATTCATATCAAAATTCAAAAGGTAGTACATAAGACATGGCCGGTATTTTTTTTAGTACAGATGCAATTATGAGAAATATATAGTGACATAAAGTAGGGGTATATTAATATAAGGATTTCAAAGGAACCGATAATAATGCTTATCATAATTCGCCAAAATATAATGAAGTTATTTAACCGTTATTTAATACTATGCGATTAAAAATGAGTTGCTGTCGAATCACCTTTGGAATTTTTGTTTTCATGGTAAATCGTACTTAACTTGAATTTCCAAAGGTGACTCGACAGCAACTCATTTTTGATCGCCCGTTAGTCGTAGATAAAAATTTAAATACAAGCCGATAGTGAAACAAACGGTCGGACGCGCCAACATTTCGATTTCTATAAATCCGAGTATAAATCCTTTTAAAAAATGAGAGTACATCCGATTAATTCAAGGCGTAAATAATTGCGCAAGAAACTGAGTTACAAAGACTAGGATTCACCTTAAGGTGAAGGATGTTCTGTGATTATTTATGAATTACTTATCGATTTACGTATGCCACTATGAAAAGAAGTGCCGTTATTTCACATTTCGCATGCATTCGTCAGACGCGATTGAAATAGGTTGGCGTCTCGGAAGACGCGTGTGCATAAGAATTTTGCTTACACCAAGTCCCGTACAGAACTTTTTAAGACGACAGTGGCGCGGATGGACTTATGTCATTAACCCGTTTGGGTGCAACGTCCGCTATTATTAGGTAACAGATTGAACTTAAGAGGATATAATATACAAGTGCGTATCCTTCCTTCCTGCCGCTTCTGCCCGTATTTCTAATAAACCCTATTATATGGAATAAAACAAGCTAAGGAACCCAATTTCTTATCTTTACACATGGCGCTCTTATCTTATCATCACTCTTTCGCAAAGATGGTAGTGGTGGTACTTACTTCGTTCTCATTACCTGCTGCGACATTTTTCAAACGTTTGCTTGTCGTCCAAGATTCGTACAAAACCAGAATGATTGATTATAACAAATTCAATTACAACTATTAACTGAACAGCCACATAGGTAGGTACCAATTCCAAAAATCACTCAAAATTGCTACGCTTATTACTATTATTCGAAATTATTCCTTGGGAGATATTCGATATTTATATGCTTCACTGCAAAAA